GCGGAGATGAAACTTAAATGTTTTTCTGTCCTTGTCATAACTGAGAACTCGCATTAGGGGAAGTGTTACCCATCAGCCCCTCTGACTTCAGGTTCACCCCTGATAAGAACCCATGAGGAAGAGAACGTGGGCGTCTCAGTCATCGTTTACACAAGACTCGGGAGACTCCACCATGTGTAGCCACTGCAACAGTGATGAGTGTTAAACGTTCAGCAGTTTGTTCAAGTTGACGAGAGGAAGTGAAAGAGGAAATATTGTTTGTATTTCATGTCAGTGAACCTTCGAACCTTCAAAAAGTTGCACAATGTGGCTTGAACTTTGCTGACGTGTGACATCTGACCTCCGCAGGCTGAGTTCAGGTTCCTGTTTGTCACATTGAAACGCTGAGTTGTCAAAAAGACGCTGACTGTGTATTTGCGTTAAGGTTAGATCCTGGGAATTGGTCACACCACTGATGCGTCCTCAAAGAGATAGGTGTCCAGCTCATGAGCATGAAGCTGCACAGCCCCAGCTCCTCTGCTGATGCATGTAATAGTTCGCATACGTTCCTGTTTCCCATTGTTGTTTGGTTGCGTGCGCTCCACAAGAGCTCTTTGTTGCTACGGCAGCTGTTTTGGTTTTTTCCCAGCAGTCACTGAGTCAGACGAAGGTAAAGCAGCAGCAACACGCCAGTTATTTATTGTTAAAGTGTAAAGTGAGCGCAGGTCAGAGGAGCGAGGAGGAAACAGACTCCGACAGGACGGCCTTTAATGAGCGTCTGTACTGACGCAGCTGTGTAATAATAAGTCAGCGATGGGCCTTTGCTGAAACAATAAACGTAGTGGGAAAGTTTTGTCTCTACATTGATGCAGAGTCGTCTGCGTCACGATGCATCTAAGAATCAAGACATTTCCACACGTCTGTCTAACATGGACGACCCACAGTGTATGACCTGTACTGCAGCCGGGCACCAGGGGGCGGTCCAGAGGATTTGGCTTCACTCCTGAGGAGCTGTCCTGCTGTAGATGGTTCACTGTCAAATTTCCTGTGATAGAAAGGTTTCAGATTCTTTCATACTGTTGTAACGAGCTAATTATCAGAGTTTGGACAGAAACTGTTATAGTGTAGTTATCTTTTTAAAGATTTTAGAAGAAACTCTGATTCCAGAGTCAATGAACTTATGTTTTGGCTGAAACTCATAGAAACAGATGTGAAACTGCAGTGATTGAAGGTGAACTCTCTGAAACAGTGTTTGTGATTTCTCTGCTCAGAGCTCGACTCTGGTTTCTCTCGTTGTTTGTGGTTTTCTGTTTCTCCGACTCTGGTTTGGAGTCCGACTCTGTCGTACAAAAGAAAAACACGGCGGAGAATTGTTGTGTTGAAATGTTGTCACGCAGCCAGAGACTCTGAGTCTCTGAGTGTTAAATCTGAGAGATAATGACAGTATCTTGACTGAAGCTGATCCAGACTCAGTTTTCTGTGATGAAGCGAAGGAGTCGTTTTATTTCCAGGATCCGTTTCTCCACATATTTTCAGTCAGGTTCAGTCTGGCCTCGTGCTACAGAGGAAAACTGGTTCTCCAAATCCACGCTGGAACGCAGAGCTGGACTCGGTTCAACTGGGATGATTAATGCATCAGGTACCAAATACAATGCAGCTCTTGTGGTGAGGGGATGTGTTGTGTGCACAGAGTTTTTTTCACTCCTTACCTCCTGGTCGAGGCCTCATTGTTCAGAGCTGAATGTTTTCAGAGCAGTGAAATCATTTGTGCATTGAGTCCATGTCATTTAGAGTCAGTTTGTAAGAAGCAGGTTTTATTCGGAGAGTTGTCGCCGGTCGCAGCTCGTCGCTGGTTGAGCTGCTTTGTTAACAGTGAAACTGAAGCAGCTGCCGTGTTTAAAGGCTGTTGCTGTGTTTTGCTCCTGGGCAGACGATCAGTTAAAGCTTTTGTCTTGGCCTGAATGGGATTACGTGGAGAGGCCCAGCAGCTCCGTTTGTGGGTCAGTGTTTTCATCTGGAAACAGAAAGTTAGACGATACTGAGCCTTTTTTTTTTTTTTTACTGCTTTCATATAAAACTGTTTATTCAGAATAACACCACAACTCCACAGTCCAGAGGTTGAACTAAGACGATTGACTGTGAGACTCTGAGAGTCAGAGCTACAGGAGTCCTGTGCTCTCAACGTGTACAGGGAGGTAACTTATCATCGAGCACGTCACCAAGACATTCAGTCGTTTAAATCAGTTTCAGATCTGTGATAAATACTTTATCTTTGCTGCAGCTCTTTGCTCGTGCAGGACTCACACAGATGTGTCTTGTGGATACGATGGAGGGAGTCTTGGGAACACTGTTGCTAGGCAACAGCAACATGGATGATAATATTAAATCCCAATTCATGTTCCTGCGTCGAAGCTACGCTGCAGCCTGTGCACGGGGCTGATCATTCATCGCAGTTACACCACCGAAACACTAGTGGCGGCAGAGTTTCGGTATCTGGTCCATTTATTTACATATTCTGTGGCGTCCATGTTGACCTCAGAACAATTCAACGTGCTGTTAGTGGAGTATGTTGGCGTTAGCGCTGCTGGATGTCGAAGAGCAATTTTTCTTTTTAAAGATCGGCGACGAAGACAAAAAAAATTTCTCCGAGTGTGTTTCTTTAACTTTGTGGCGGTGAGTCTGCAGGGAACGCAAAAACACGATGATGGAGAAAAAGATGAGACCGACTTTTCATCCATTGAAAGACAACAGTTTCTGAAAATGTCAGATACGTCACAACTCAAGAACTCCATTTATTTAACGACATTTCACCTGTAAATGAGTTTTTTATTCGAATCAGGAAGGATCCACATCAGCGACATCACAAATACAAGTGAAGCTGCTTAAAGACGAACTTTTTCCTCCAGAGTGAACCTTCCTGTTTGTCCACTGATTTTCTGTCACATGAATAAAACGGAAAGCTCCGGATCGTTTATCAAATAAACCTGGAAGTGAGAAGATTTCTTTCTAAGATCAGGTTGAAATTCATGGACGACAGGTCCTTTAACTTTTCACCCTGGACTGAATCCTTGTTGTGAGTCTGTTTGTGTTGCGTTAACTGTGAAACTTTAGTCTTTGTCAAGACTTTCTTAGTTCTCAGACATGTCTGTCGATGGATTTATATCAGTTTGAGAAGATCGATAACTGATGAGCCGCTGCATATTTAACATTTAGCTTTTAGCCGTTGGCGTGTAGCTGTTTGTGTGTGTGTGGACAAAGACGTTCCTCTTACACAACAGTGAGCCTCATCATTACATCACTCACATTTTAAAGGCGTGTAATTGGGCTCATTAAAGGGCTCGTTTTGGACAGTCCCCCTCTCACCCTCCCCCTCCCTCCAAGGCTTTTGTCCCCCTCCCCCCTCTGACTCCGAGCTGACCTCTCGTCGTCTTCAGTTGTGGTCACAGAATGTTTTTCTATTCTGCGACTGAATTCGGCTGTAATCCTGTTTCCTGCTGCCATGGCGGAGTTTGCCGGTCTAAAAGGCGTCGCCACTATCTGGACAGTCGGAACGTTTTGAGTCCAAACAAACTATTTCTGTTTCTTCTGTGAGTGGGGGGGGGTGAGCTTCTGACACGTGACACAAACATGAAGAAACACAAACAAATGTCTCTGGTGACAAAGTGCTGACACACACGTAGAAGACAGACGAAGACGTGAAGACAGTTTGTGGTGATGAGAGCTGACGACGGTGTCAGGTGATGTAAACAATATCACATGATCACTTCCTGTCTGTCTGCTCCACCTCTCACCTGAAGAAGGAGGAGGATCTGATGCTGAACGAGTCTGAGCAGAAAACCTGCTGCTGAGTTGTTCAGCTGTGAAACATGAACTCTGGAGACGAGTCTCTGGGGACGAGTCTCTGGAGACGAGTCTCTGGAGACGGGTCTGTGGGGACGAGTCTCTGGGGACGAGTCTCTGGGGACGAGTCTCTGGGGACGAGTCTCTGGAGACGAGTCTCTGGGGACGAGTCTCTGGATTCGACCTGGAGCTCATGAAAACAGTGAAGGTCACACAGGATCGATTCGCTGTATTTCTGTCTAATACCACTTCTGTGTTTGTGTTTGCAGTAATTAATTTGGAGTTAATATGATTTCAGGGTTCGTTGACAGATAAATGATGAAGGTTAATGTCAAACAATAGAAATAAAAGCTCAGACTTTTCTCTGATCTTCGCTTCGTTCTTTTCCAACACGATGTGGTTAATTGTTACTGGTCACTTAAAAGAAGCCGAGAGTCAAATTGTTTCTAATGAAGACGATTATAAGAAGAAATGTGTTTATTTGAACTAAATATATTTGACCGATGAACGGATGAGGTTCATGTTTCATCAGGTCAGTTTGTGTTTCGATACTGAAACAGCGATGATGTCACTGCACATGTGGACGTTTGTCGGGGGAGCTGACTCCACCTCGCTCTTTTGGTTACAGAGGCAGTGGGGGGATGGGTGGAGATCAGTCATGGTGCTGTTTGGGGGGGGGGGCATCCAGCTGTGATGATAATTAAGACAAACAAAGCAGAGAATTAGCTGCACAGCGTTCACGCCCACCCTCCTGCAGACCCCCCCTCACCCATCACCATCGAGGTGATCTGTTCAATGATTCGATAAAGTTCTGGTTCGGTGGTTTTTAAATGTGAGAAAACAGACAGAGTGAGCATCACTGCACATTTAACATCTGTGACGACTCAGGTCAACATGTGAACTCCTCAGATAAAGGATCATGATGTGAACTGATCATCGTCGTGTGGCGTCGAGGCTTCCATGAGAAATAACCACGAGTATTCTCAGTGTTTTACGCTGCGAACACGAAGGTCGCTCTAGTGTCGAGAATGTGTTTTCACGTCTGTCACATGATCACATGTCACTGAAGCACGATCAGTTATGTTGTCAGATTCTCTCCAGGTKCATGTACTGATGTGTTCTATATAGCATGTTAGCATGTATGTATGTGAGTTCACAGTATGTTGTAAATGAATCTGTTCTGTCCAGGTTCATGTACTGGACGGACTGGGGCGAGATCCCAAAGATCGAGCGGGCGGGGATGGACGGAACCAATCGATCGATGATTATTGATAAGGAGATCTACTGGCCGAACGGACTGACACTGGACTACAGTCAACAGAAACTGTACTGGGCCGACGCCAAACACAACTTTATCCACCGCTCCAACCTGGACGGTTCCTCCAGGTACGACGACCAACACGCCCTCCCCTGCCTGGTTCCTGACAATTATATCGTCTTGTTTCTAACTTAAAGTTACCTCCGGCTGGATCGATCATCCCACATGGTTATCGATCACTGTAACCTGTCACTTCCTGTGGATGTTTCACATTAAACTCTGCAGCTCATGAGGCTAATCCTTCCTCCATCACAGGCTTTTATTGTGGAAACTTTCAGGAAGTGTTGAGTTTTATTGACAGTAGCGTCACAGAGATTTAAAAAGGGCAAAGTGAACACAATTGAAAATAGCTGATGATTAAAAACCGGTGTTTGTGTTAAGGTTTGGTTTAACATCACAGTTAATATCGTCATGTGATGAGTTTCTTATCAAGCCTGGTTGAAGGTCCGTCGTTATTTTAACATCACATTCTTGAATTCTCATCTTCCTAAAATCTTCTTCTGATGTTTTCATAAAACATTTGAAACAAACTGTTTGTGTTTCAGGGAGGTGGTGGTTAAAGGAGAGCTGCCTCACCCCTTCGCCCTCACCCTGTACGAGGACACTCTGTTCTGGACCGACTGGAACACACACTCCATCCACTCATGTCAGAAACAGACCGGCACCGAGCAGAGGATTGTCCACTCGGACATCTTCTCGCCCATGGACATCCACGTCTTCAGCCCCAAGAGACAACCCCTCCGTGAGTCTGAGCTGCTGCAGTTTCCTCTCTGACCTCCAGGGTTTTTAAAGAACTGTGTTTGAGACGGTCGCTCAGATGTTTTTCAGACACATGTTCTCATTTATCGGTTTAAATTAATTAATCTTAAGCTAATTAAAAACTTTCAGTCAGTTTGGCTCCAGCAGGATTCTTCTCTCAGTAGACAGCTGTTCATGTGTGTAACTGTGTGTAACTGTGTGTAACTGTGTGTAACTGTGTGTAACTGTGTGTAACTGTGTGTGTTGTCTGCAGTGAACTCTCCCTGCTCGCTGAAGAACGGAGGATGTTCTCACCTCTGCCTCCTCTCTCCGGACAAGCCGTACTATCAGTGTGCCTGTCCCACCGGAGTCCAGCTGCTGGAGGACGGGACGACCTGCAGAGACGGTGAGGACACGACCACTGCCGTCTTTATCATCATCATCATCATCACCACACTGGTTCCTCTTATATCAGTTACTTATGGTGGAAACCTCAGTAATCTATTACTCACCAAGGATTCCTTTATTTTTTTTAAATAGTTTTTCATTTTCAAAGTTTCAAACATTTTTATTTTCAAATATAAATTCATTTGAACCTCCACATTTATCTTCTGTAATCTTCTCATCTTCATGGACGAGGCATGAAACATGTTCCCTCTGTAATAAAAATCAGTCACTCTGAACTACATGGGTGTTTCGGGGTGAAACAGATATTGGGAGTAAATAATTCCCGATAGCAATAAATCGGCCGATGCCACATTTTCCTTTATTGTTCATTGTTGAAAATAGTTTTCAGTTTATCAGCAAACATATCCACCGTCTGAAAGACTCACGTCGGTCAATGAATGAATCAGTTGTGTTTACGTCTGCTGCTCTGTGTGTGTGTGTGTGTGTGTGTGTGTGTGTGTGTGTGTGTGTGTGTGTGTGTGTGTGT